CCAATACCGAATTACGATCACTTCTCGTTCATTCTCTGTTACATTACCTTTTCGTTCACACGTTATTTGAAAAGGAAATTTACAAATTCGTAAAAAGGAATTTACAAAAAAGTAAATGTGCATTCATCTGTTTACGTTACATATAATTTGCCTACATTTACGTTTCATTCATTAATATCTTTAAATAACAAACGGCAGATGTCGATTACGTCTTTTTTATTTGCTATTATACGCAGTTTCCTGCGATGCATGCTGACCTACTTGTTTGGAGCTTCGTAGTACAAGCGTAGCGCGTAGCCACCGCAATCGCGGGAACTCGGCTGGAAAAGTCGCGCTCTGATTGGTCGCGGTTTTTCGTTAATATATAATAATATATAAGTATATATACCAGGATTTCCCAATTTTAATATGCATGTAAATAATTTCTTCAATCATCATAGTATTACATTTGATTGAATACTTTTTACCAGTTGATAATAGACTGCATACATATTATATCAATGCACAATATCACACACATGAATGTAAAAAGTATAATAAATATATTTCTATCCAAATAGAACCTTTAATAAAGAAGATACCTACATTTCCCTTTAACACTACTTCCTGTACATAAAACTGCAAAGATTAACACTAGAATTATCAGCACTCAATGTTTACTAAATTATATTGTATAACGTTCAATACAATATACCATAATATAGTATAATACAAATGTATAATAAATCAAAAGTCATCATAAATTCCGATGAAAACATCTTTACAGTTTCAGTAATTCTAAAATAAGAAATCTGAAATCCAACATTTTAAGGAGTTTGGTAGTTCTAGGGTTAAAAAAAGTCCCTTTATCACGTAACAATAGTACTATAAAATAATTTCAACATTTCTAATCACCCTTTCTCCTCTTCTTCTACTCACATCGTTCCATAAAGAAAAAACAATTTATTAACAATCGAAACTCACTTGAAGCGCCAAATCCTGTGCCACAAAGCTATGTTTGTCTCTCTCTTTCTCCACAATAGACATTTCTTTCTGTATCTCGTCGACATTCTGCGTCACGCTGTCAAGCTCGTGCTCGATCTTCCGTCTGCTGTACTCATACACCACGAGCTCGTGTTGCTGCTTCTTGATATGTTCGCTCAATGTCTCCTTGGTGCGCGCCAGAATGTTTTTCTCGCGCAACAGTACATCAACCTGTTGCTGTTTATCGATTTGCTGCTTCCGCAATGTAAATAATTCGTGCTCCCGATTACTCGTCGTAGCGAGCGCTTGCTTCAGCTGCTGCTCCAGGCTCGACCGTTCCGATTCGAACTTCTGCAACCGTTTCACCGCGATATCCCTCTCGGCCTTTATTTTCGTCATCTCGGCTCTTGTTCTGCAATGTTATCGAACGAAATCGCTTGAGACCACTGAAGAATTACGTGAAAATTATAACAATAAATTTTACTCTTTGCGTTTAGTGAACATAATAATTGTAAATGTAGTGTTGACAGCCTTCTCATCGAAAAAAGCCGTTTATTTCCAAACAACATACAGTAAAAGCTCGATGAGTGTTCGGAAGCTCTTCGGCACTGAATATTGAATAATTCATAAATTAATGGCCATATGCAGCTGAAACAAATATCATTGGCTTCAGAATTCTAAGCTCTATGTTTTCAACTTCATTAAGATGTCAGCGTTACACCTGGAAACATCTCCTTGTCAGTGCCGATGAGCCTTCGAACATTCATCGAGGAGACAATGTAATGAGAATCTCTTGTTAGACTTCCCAGATAGCACATGACGCCTTGACGACGCCCATTTTGCGACTATTTTAGGTCTGAGGCGCCTTTACGCCGTCATTATGCCGTCATAAGCCATCTGTGTGCTATCTGGGTTTATTCATTTTCACATTTTCAGATAACAGGTACCTATTACATACAGTCAAGATTGTTATTATAACGATTACCCACCTGTACTGGCCCAAAGAATTTAATAGTGGCCTTCAATAAAGCTAATTATCGTATCTACTCCGAAATGAAACGAAAAACTGACCTTAGTATAACCAGCCTAATTGAGATTTAATTGGTTTAAAGTTTAAAGCAATGCTGTCCAACTTGGCTCCTTAGAAGCAACATACATCCCCCACCACTGTGCGCTGTTATCGTGGAGTAACAGAGACAAAAGTCTAACCTTCTTTGTTTACGAAGGCACATGGCGCGAAAGAAAGATTGAAAGGGGGAGAAGGTGCGTGAGGGACCCCTCCCAAGTGTCAAGTTGAACAGCACTGGTTTAAAGGGTTATTCTACTTTGACGGCCGAAAAAGTTAAACTGTCTTCAAGAATTTTTTCCTCAGTAAGCATAACATGTAATCAATTGCTAATCTTGTTACTATTTATTGAAATACTTATAAATAATATTAAAAGATTACAAAAATAATTTTGTTACAGTTTGTTCTACGTTTTTTCTTACCGTGAAAGTGACATCACAAAAAGAAGGTATTTCCATGACACAGATGATTTCTCAGCTGACTCATCTGAAACAAAAAATTCAAGAAGATTCTTAATTAGTACGAGTGTCGCTATCGAAGGAACCAAATAGATAATTTATCTTAAAGAATAGCAAAATGGCACGGATCGAATAAAAAAATTAAAGAAAAGTACTTTTTTGGTGATACTGTTAAAAAACAAGTACAATAAATTAAAGATATAAACATGACTGCGGTTCTTGCGATTGCGACATTCATACTAAGAATCTTCTTGAATTTTTTGTTTCGGATGAGTCTGAGCTGAGAAATCACCTGCGCCATGGAGATACCTTTTTTTTAAGATGTCACTTTCATGATAAGAAAACACTTAAAACAAAATATAATAAAATTATTTTTGCAATTTTGTTATATTATTTATAAGTAGAGCAATAAATAGTAACGAGATTACATTTGATTACATACAGTATTTACTGAGAACTATATGTATAGTTCCTTAGCCATGCCTTCGTTTCATTCAATAAACTCATAAATATTTCATGTATCAGCTTTCGCCGGCTTGAGTTTAAAAAATCATTTGTAACCAATGCAGCGTGACACAGACTTCATACCTGACCGCGACTGACCATGTGAACACTCTAAGAGATAAAGACTTTCGGCACTGATTCTTGGAGCTGAAGAAGCATTTCTATCGATATGACTTTTTCGAGAGCAACTATACTCAATCCTTGATCGTTAAAAATGTAACAGAGAAAAGTTTATATTGTATATAACTTTGTTGCTTTTGGAATAAATCGAAAAACAGGAATTGATTGGTTAAGGTTATTGAAGCTTAAGTACCGTCATTTGGCTGAATAATTTTGTGTTTTCGTTTGAAAACTTGTTAATTGTGATGGTAACTTTTATTAACTTTCATAATTAACAATATGAGTCTTGTATTAAATTAGCATATAGCGATACAAAACATACACAAAAAAGTACAGTAAAAAATAACGAGATATCAACTCTTATTCGTACATTCGACAGCGGTGAAACATAATTCGGTGTCCAGTTAGTGCATCCCACGGTCAGCAAAAAATAAAAAGTATTTAATTACCCGACTAAAAACACGAATATCCATGTCGCGCGTCGTATTTTACACGGATAAACATCAGTGTCAAAAAAAGAAAAAACAAGAATCCGTTTCGTCAACACACGGCAAACAGCCCGCGATTCTTGTCAGTAATGAGAAAATATATTTTCCGCGTCCGCCGTTTGTCCTGGAGAAATGTACGACAATTTGCATAGCAATTATACGCGGCAGGGCACAAGTATCGACGCATTGTAATGCAAAATTTAATGGAAAATAATTTTCGTCTCCTGGCCCACCGTTCTGACCGATCGAAGCGCGCGCCGCGCGAGTATAATTTTCCAAATAGCCCTGGCAAATAATGTTTCTCGCGTTACTCCCTACACTCGCGGGCTGCAATCAATTATATTCCCGTCGCGTCTGATATTTTATTAGCGGAAATTGAAATAATGCCGTTTCCGTCTGTAATACCTACAGGGTGTTTAAACAAAGAGATTCATAACTTCGTGGGTAGATACTATCTACTAGATAATACACGCCAAATGATGAAAAAAATCCTAATAAACATGTACACAATTTTTTGTTTCGGTTGGAGTGACTGATTTTACTCGCTTCGGAAGTTATCGTGCCGTATAGGAACAATGAAGAAAATTGTAAAGGAAACTAATAAGAATTGTAGAAAACCTTCTGTAACCAGGGAAAAAAGGAACAATAACGTAATCTATTGTTCCCAGACGGTACGGTAGCTTCCGAAGCGATATCAGTTTTGAAAATATTAATTTATCGAGCCATGTTTATTAGAACTTTTTTTCAACATTTAACGTGTACTATCTACCTTAGAGGTTATGAAACTGAAGTGGGTAAGGTGGTATAAAACAATAGAAATTGTCCTCACTTCATTTATTTAGTACATTCGGTAAGCGCGAATACTAGTGCAGTGTTGGTGTTGTAACCTCGGAGGCTTACCATCGACTGCCTACTCTCGCTGCATTTCCTAAATCCCTCGGAGTTATAAAAGGCGAAAATATGGGAGAGAAAAAGAAAAGAGAATAGAAAAGGAAAACTTGAGAAATCAGCGACAGCAATAGGGACAGCGGAAAAGAGTCATAAACAGAGAAAGCTAAGAGGTAGGCGAAGGACCGAGACTAACGAAAACCAGAACTCTGGCGACGCTCTCAAGGATGCGTTGGAAATTAGTGAAGGGCCTGTCACCAAATGTGCGACCAGCAGACAGGAAATAGAGAATAATAGCGTAACAGAGTTGAAAAGGAAAGAGAAATTTTTAGAAGCAAAATATGCATTGGCGTGCGTGGTGCTACAGCCACCACAAACCCTTTTTTAAAAATCACCCTATATATAGTAAATACGTCTTCGCGCGATAAATATTGTCCGGGAGACTTTGTCTCGCTCTGGCCGAAAACGAGTGCTTAATTAAACCCCGGCCCGATACAAGCAACATTACGCCGTCGTGCCATTATACAACAAAATGGCCGTGTACGAGATTTAATCGTCTTTTAATGAAAAACATTTACGGCGACCATCGTTCTTCCACGTATCGCCGAACAGTAAAATCAGTTTCAAAAACGTGTTGTACCTGTTGGAACGATTGTAACACGTGCGCAATAAGTGACGACAGTATTCAAACGGCTTTACCATATCCAGTGTCATGATTCTTTGTACAGTAGCCGAAATAATGATAGGTTCATATCATTTTTATGATGTAACAGTGTGTTTTACGTAACATTTCTATTTTTTGATATTAGTAAGTGATTCGTTACAATGTAATTAGTAGAATATATAATCTATTTGAACAATATAATTTTTATTAATACGTTTATTAATCAATATTACAAAAATTTGAAATTTTTGTGTGAAATAAATATAGGTTCACTAAATCATTTTCTAGTCTTCCGTTGTTTTTTATGAACTCAAATATCCTTTGTGACATTGTGTCTATTAATTTCTTTAACGTCTCTGATCCGATCTCAGACCACGCCTCTTTGATGCCATTTTTTAATTCATTAACCGTTACGTATTGTTATATGTTAGACCATACATTTTCAATGGGGTTGAGGTTGGGACTTCTCGATGGTCAAGGCAAAACCTCAACTTCTGCCACCTGAAAATATGCATTAATTGCTTTTGCACGATGAATTGGTGCATTATCGTGTTGGAAGATGAAATTTGGACCACCAATTCTGTCACCATCTCTGTCTAACGCATATTTTAACAGTTCTTGGTACTTTCCCGCATTGGCCCTTGGTGGAAACCACATGATCGGAGTTCTACCGTTGTAGCCGAAAGCTGCCCAAATCATCACGCTACCTCCTCCATAATTTTTGCTCATTCTTATCTCTCTCTGATCACGCAGATCATGCCAGTAATACTGGAATCCGTCCGGACCTTCTAAATTACATTTTTTTTCGTCTGAGAAAATCACAGTTCTCCATTTTTCTGTCCATAACATACGATCTTGTGCAAATTTCAATCTTTCATGTTTGTAAAGCTTGGTGAGATGGGGCTTTTTCGCTCTCTCTCGGTATCGAAGCGTGTTACTCGTTTTCAAAACTTGTTGCACGCGTCGTACAACGACTGGTAAATTTAATTTTGCTCTGATTTGAGAAGCGGTCAATTTATTTTTTCGGGCTTCATGAAAGATTTTTCTTCTATCCCTTTGACTCAATTTCTTTGGACGGCCTGCAGACTTTTTTGCCCCATATTTATCACCCAATTGCAAAAAATGATTAACAACATTTGAAGATCTATGAATTTTTTCTGCGATTTTGCTGTTTGATAAATTCATGTCCTTGAACGCAATGAGTAATCCAT